AGGCGAGAGGCGAGCGAGCCCGAGGTAGCGAGAGCACCGCACCGCACGTCGCATCGTATCGCACGCACTGGCCGCAAATAGCAATGGAGCGAGGCGATGGAGCGAGGTGCAGATTAGAGATTAGGAATAGCACGAAGCACCCGCAGGCCTCGGACGTGCGCGTGGATAGTGCGCGAGAGCGAGCCCGAGCCCAGGACATAACGCGCGAGCAAGCCCGGGCCATAACGCGCGAGAGCCGCAGCCTGAACCCTCCTACATCATCGGCCCGGGAAATGAGACCGAGGGCGGATGTAATGCGAGCTCGGAGTACCTCGGAGGAGTGATGGCGGTGCGAGACGCGACATGAAACGTCAACCAGGAATGTTCGGGCCAGAGCCAGCTCGCGAAGGGCCCAGACGCGGGCGTGCAGGGAATTGCCAAAGGAAGGAATTGCCTAAGGCAGGTGGCACTGGAAGGCACCGAAGGCGTGCGGACGCAATGTGGGGGGCCTCGAGCCTCGAGGCGCAAGGTTGCGCCTCGCGCCGCGCGTCCGGCAGAGGCAGGACGAGAACGCGCGGCCACCAAGAACGCCCCTCCCAGAAAAAAAAGCGAGATCGAAAGACAACACCCAAAAAAAAAGGGGGAAAAAAAAGTGAGACAAGAAAGTGAGACATCACTCACACAACCGTCGACTGCCCCACTGACACGCTGGGCGTCGTCAAGACCGACGTGACTGGCGCCGAGCTCGTCGCCGACGCCGTGTTGCTTGTGCTCACACTGCCACCGCCGCCGCCGTTGTTGCTCGCACTATTGCTTGCACTGACGCTATTACTCGCGCTGTCGCTTGCACTGGCGCTCACACTGACGGAGAGTGGGAGAGACAGGGAGAGCGGGTCGGAGGAGACCGCTGTATGCGCAGAGAAAAAAAAAGGAGTCAGCGAAAAGAAATCGGGAAAGGGGGAGAGATAGGAGACCAGAAATGGGGAGGCTTGAAGCAGGATCGGACACGGGAGCGGGAGTGGGAGCGGATGAGGAAGCCATGGATATGGCTATGTCTGCTCGTCTGCGTGTGTCTGGTACAAGGCACGAACGTCGATATGATAATCGACGTCGTATCGTGGCGCCCGACGTAAGAAAATAGCACATACTCCGACCGCTCCGGTATCTCCGCTCCGCGAAATGAAGGACACTCACGCAAAGACATCCGGTGCGATTATGTCTTGAATGTTTGAGGATAAATAATGGGTGTGGAGGTGGGAGAAGGAGAGTGAGAGTCGTTGGACCACAGCAAGCGAAAAAGGTCGTCAGCGGGTGGAGCAACCCGGAGATCAGTCCAATTAGGGGGAAATCAACACGTGCGGTGATGATGCGGCCCGGTAGATGCCGCGTGTGGTTGAAAAATCGGGGGTAGTGAGGCAGAAAATTGAACCGGTGCGGTTTTATGGGAATGCAAGCCTGGGGTTAGCAATAAATTCTCTCGAGGGATAATTTTGAGCATGGAAAATTGAACCATTGCGATTTGTCGTTTCGTCTGTTCTTCTCTTCAAAAGTTCAACACACTTCTTAGTTATATGGGCCCGTACACCAATGTAGATGTCGCTCCCAAGGCGGAACAGTCTATAATTTTTTTCAAAAAAAAAAACAACCCAATTAACCATAACTTGAACGCCGGGAATCGAACCCGTCCTTCCCGTGATATGCCAACAGTATATTTATTACAAGTCCGGGCTGTGCACCATACACCACGTTCAACTTATTCCTCTTGAACTCAGCTTAGCTATCAGTGAGTCTTTTTGGCATTCAGTACTTATATTCTCGACATGTATCAACTACTTGTCAGACGTTTGTTGAACTTCCTCCGACAACACTCCTGTCAAGACTCAATTATGCGGTACCTTACACCGATGTCGCTCCCGATAGGCAGGCCGCAGAACAGTATTTCTTTCCAAAAAAAAACACCCTAAAATTGTGCCTCATTCGAACGCCGGGAATCGAACCCGTCCTTCCCGTGATTTTCCAAAGGCAAACTATAAGTCCGGGCTGTGCACCATACACCACGTCCGATTTATGGTGCTAGAACTCAGCGCGCTATCAGTGAGTCTTTTTGGCATAGTGCTTATTTTCTCGACGTCTTGATCGAGTTGGGAGTACTTGGAAAATGAATATTCAGCCGATCATCTTAGTTGAAAATATCCAATTCTGCGACGCCGGCTTCGCAATAGGCAGTTATTTCTTTCTAAAAAAAAAACACCCTAGAATTCTACCGCATTCGAACCCGTTCATCCCGGGATATGTCAAGGTTGATAGCCTCGTAAAAGTCCAGGCTGTGCACCATACACCACGTTCGACTTATTCTTCTTGAATCCAGCTTAGCTATCAGCGTGGCATTCAGTACTTATATTCTCAACGTAGATCAACTACTTGTCAGCTACTTAAGAGACGTTTGTTGAACTTCCTCCGACAACACTCCTGTCAAGACTCAATTCTGCGATACCTTACACCAATGTCGCTCCCGATAGGCTGGCGAACAGTATTTCTTTCCAAAAAAAAACACCGCAAAATTGTGCTTCATTCGAACGCCGGGAATCGAACCCGTCCTTCCCGTGATATGCTGAAGACCAACGGATTGTGATAAGCCCGAGCTGTGCGCCATACACCACGTCCGATTTATGGTGCTAGAACTCAGCTTAGCTATCAGCCAGTGTTTCTGGCCCATGTATTTATGTTCTGTACGTTGAACTGCTACAGGGATGAAGCATCGATATTGAACCAACACATCATGATCATCTCGGTTGAAAATATCCTATTCTACGACGCCGGCTTCGCAATAGGCAGCTATTTCTTTCCAACGAAAAAGAAAACGTCAATCATAATTCAAACACCGGGAATCGAACGCGTCCTTCCCGTGATATGTCAAGACCTTGCAGATTGTCATAAGTCCGGGATGTGCAGCATACACCACGTCCGAGTTATTTCCCCCTGCGTCTCCTTTCCCCTTCCTTCTCCTCAATGAAATACATGCACAGGGCTCCATGGCCAAGCGTTCTGCCAAAGAAAAAAAAGGCTTCATTTAAATTACACGTCATTAGGATGCGGGGAATCGAACCCCGGCCTGCCCTGAGATATTTCTTTTACATGGACAATCCCAAGATTTTAGGGCAGTGCACCATACACCACATCCGATATATTTATCTTGAAGTCAGCTTGCTATCAGCAAGTCTTTCTGGCATACACTACTTGACAAGGCCGTTAAACTTGATTAACAGAAAAATTAATATTGAACTAACCCGACGTCCGAGTTATCCACCTCTGCGTCTCCTCAATGAAAAATACATGCACAGTGCTCCATGGCCAAATGTTCTGCTAAAAAAAAAATCCAATTACAAAAGATTTATTCGGATGCGGGGAATCGAACCCCTTCCTGCCCCAACAAATTGCAAAACAAATCGACTATATTTTAGGACCGTGCACCATACACCACATCCGATTTATTCCTCATGAACTGAATTTGCATATCACAGTACCTTTGCAGCAATTTTTATACCTGGAGCCACTCAAAGCGCGGGAAGAAGAAAAAAGAGGTTTACACACACATTCCCCATTCGGATGCGGGGAATCGAACCCCGGCGTGCCCTGAGACAAGCGAATATTTACGACATATATTTCAAAGCCGTGCACCATACACCACATCCGATTCAATACTCTTGAACTGAATTTCCTTATCACAGCAGCTTTCCGGCAACGGTTACTCATTCGTGTTGATGCCTACGGGGTTGCTGGTTAATGCCCCTGTCTTTATCCATAGTTTCATCCAGCATTCTCAAATTCATTAATTTCTGAGCCGTAATTGCAGCCTGGAGTCACTCAAAACATGAGAAAAACACGAGAGAAAAAAAGCCATACAAACCACCTATTCGGATACGGGGAATCGAACCCAGGCCTGCCCTGAGAGTATGGAGTGTCAACACGTCATATTTTAGGGCTATGCAACATGCACCACATCCGATTTATTCCTCTTCGGCTGAATTTGCATATCACAGCAGCTTTCCGGGAATCCTTATTCATTGCTTCCTGAACATGATTTGCAGTCTTGCTTGAGTCAATCAAAAACAAGATTTTTTTAAAAAAAAGTGGTTTACAGATGCCATACTCGGATGCGGGGAATTGAACCCCTTCCTGCCCTGACAAACTGCAGCTGGCCAGTTGACATAAATTTTAAGGCCGTGCACCATACACCACATCCGGTTTAATCCTCATGAGCGGGATTCAATAACCGCATCTTTGTTCACCGCTTTGTCCAGCATGCTCAAATTCATTAATTTCTGGGTCTTGATATGTGATCCATGAAAAACACGGGGCAAAAAAAAAAAGACCTGCCCATGGCCTATTCGGATGCGGGGAATCGAACCCCGACATGCCCTGAGACACCAAAGACGTATAGTTCAGATATATTCCAAGGCCGCGCACCGTGCACCACATCCGATTAAATACTCCTGAATTGAATTTCCCTATCACAGAACCTCGGTCACCGATGCTTGTTCAAATGTGAACTTCATTGTTGTGTGCCGGTTAAGGCCCGCATCCTTGTTCAAAGTTTCGTCCAGCATTCTCATATTCATTACTTTCTGAACTGTGATTATGTGGTCACTCAAAAGGACGGGAAGAGAGAGAAAAAAGAGGTCTACAGATGCTCCTCGGATGCGGGGAATCGAACCCCGGCCTGCTCTGAAAACCAGATTTTACAGTCCGCCTCTCAGGTTTTGCAGCCCGCCTACGGTTCACAGCGGTGCACCATACACCACATCCGATTTAATCCTCATGAGCTATCACAGCACCTTCTGGCAATGCTTTTTCATGTTGAAGCCTTCGGGGTTACTAGTTAATACCCGCACCTGAATCTTTGATTATTGTTTCATCCAGTATTCTCAAATTCAGGACTTCCTGAGGCCTGAACCTTGATTATGCAGCTGGAGTCACTCAAAAAACACGAGTAAAAAAAAAAAGGCGTTCTTCATGCCCCATTCAGATGCGGGGAATAGAACCCCGGCCTAGTCTGGAGTGTTAATAACTCATATTTTTTAGGGCTATGCACCATGCACCACATCCGATTCAATAGTCTTGAACTGAATTTCCTTATCCCAGCAGCTTTCCGGAATCCTTCTTCATTGCTTCCTGAACTTGATTTGCGGTCTTACTTGAGTTAATCAAAAGCAAGTTTTTTTAAAAAAAAGGTCATCTACAGTTGGCTAGTATTCGGATGCGGGGAATCGAACCCCTTCCTGCCCTGACAAACTGCAGCTGGCCAGTTGACATAAATTTTAAGGCCGTGCACCATACACCACATCCAATTTCATTCTCTTGAAATGAATGTCACTATCACGGCACTTATTCATGTTGAAACTAATCTCTACGGCAGCTGCCAGGCTAACCAAATGATACGTTCGCCGATTAATTCAACTTCTGAGCCATGATTGGGTCTTGAGTCAATCAAAAACAAGAGTTGAAGAAAAAGGGAACGAAAAAGGGATGCGGGGAGTCGAACCCCTTCCTGCCCCAACAAATTGCCCAATTGGCTATATTTTAAGGCCGTGCACCATACACCACATCCGATTTAATCCTCATGAGCTGAGTTTCCCTGTCACAGAGCCGTTTCTCAGCTCAGTTGTAAACGTTGGAATTTCGACTTGGAGTTCGGAGGCAAGAAAAAAGCGAAGAACCCTGACTATTCGGACGCGGGGAATCGAATCCCGTGCTGCCTCGGAACCATTTCGCCTGGCACGTCGCTGTATGTCCGTGCACCATACACCACATCCGAGTTATTCAGCTCAAATGTTCCCTCAATAAGAAGCCTCTTTCTGGATTTCCCTAGGCCATCCTTCCCTAGATTCAGTAGATATTCCACCTTTCAGCCCTGATACTTGACATTGAAATTCACTGACCGTGATGGCATGCCGGAGCCTAAATAAATGGCGGGTAAAAGATACTGCAGATATTTATTCACGGCTGAGTTCAGACCGAAAACGAAGAACGAAAAATGAGGAGGGCGATTGGACTACCGCAGATAAGATCTTGTTACGGCGCGTTGTATGACTGAACTTCAAGGTCAGGCGAGGAATAATTGACTGAGCAGTTTACTGGTAGTAAATTGCGCGCAAGGTCAGTCCAGGTATTGAGCGAGTCGACTATTGTACACGATATAGCAGGGAAAGGACAAAGGATGGAGCCAAATGAAAATATTAACAGCTCTACAAGCAGATCAGTGGCGTCAGTCGAGAGAAGAATAGAAACTCACAATCGGCGATAGCAGTTACGAAAATATATGGGTACCAATGGCCGCCGCTCTCAGTCTTTCCAACTCTTCCCACTCAGGGAGCCCATAAATTTTCGGAAGCTTGTCCCAGAACGCCTGTCGGGCATCCTCGTGCGTCTGTTTGAGGACAGCGAGGCACGCTGGACACAGATTTTTAAGTAATCGCCAGTCGGCTGCCTCCCATACATCGAGAGGGGCAGAGGGATAGCCACGCAAATCCTCCCAAAAAGTCTCCATTGCCTGTAATCGCACTGAAATGCAGTCTTTTGAGGATGTACAGCCCTCAATTTCCGATGGATGGAATAGAAATCGCAAGATGTCTACCGTGGTGCTCGCGGTTTGAATATTGTGACCCTTGACAAACGAGTCTTGATCTTGTGCGCTTAGGCTGGCTGGAACACCGTTGAAAACCACCCCATTGAATACAGCCTTTCCGAGCTCTCCATAGTTAACGGCAAGGTCATGGAAGGCGCTAGGCAGGATCCACGGAGCGTCGATCTCGCGAGCGAGTTGGATGGCGGCAATCATATACGTATTTTCGGTGGGCCAGTCCCATGAACGCATTTGAGCTGAAGGGCTAAAATCACCCTCGTGGTAAATGGATTGGTCCCATTCAACCAGCTTAGTGCGATGTCCCGATGACAAGTGGATAAGAGCACGCCGGCGGAGGTAGTCCACGTCATACTTGTGGCTGAGGCGGAGACAACCAGTGACTATTTCGTAACTTGTCGAGGCTGGGAATGGCTCAAAAAATCTGGGACTCGGAATGAGACGCGTTAGAACAGAGATCTTGAAGAGCGACCTACTCTGGATCAAAGAGTGCCTTCAAGAACGGGTTTACCTCCCTGTCTGGGTCTGGGAGGCGTACAATAGGACATCCTTCCACAAGTTCGGAATCGGGGGGCTGAGGAAACGAAAGCATGTCCTTGAAAACGGACGAGTGCGTCGCCAGAACGCCACGGTAGACGCGATAAAGGCTGTTTCCGGCTTGGATTACAACTTGCTTCCATCCTCGAACCACAACTCCTGCACACGTTGAGGCTCGGTCGGTTCGTTGGACACGTCCACGTCCATGTCGAGGCGAGTGACAAGAGAGGATTAAAACTCCGACAAACACGTACACAGAGCACAACAATAAACGCGTAAATAAAGGCAAACGTAGTCTTGTGTTTACCGCGGGGGTCGGATCGTAGTGCTCGGTTATTATGTAATCGCGGAGTTTGAATTTAAGTCGCGTAGTAGGATTCACAGAAGACGCAATATTCCATGGGAATTTAGCATAGGATAGGTTGTCTATCCTGTGCCTGACATTATGTCTATTCAGAATTTTGAAATGTGGCCGGGAATTCGTTGTGCATGTAGCACGATTTTGGTCATGTGACCACTCACATTTTTTCAGTACTTTCGCCAAAACGATATCAACAGAGCTCCAAAATTGCCAGAAATATTCAGTAGGTCTCTGTCACTTAATTAAATGAGCTAAACACTAATCCTGTGTCTTTCTTGGCTCGGAGAGTCTCGAATTCAAGAGGTTGCGCATTTAGCCAACAAGATTCAAACTCCGCAATTACGTAATAACGGAACACTACGATCCGACCTCCGCGGTAACTAACAGACTTCAACAAGCGAGGAACGAGCTTTCTTTTGTTGAAGCGTCTGTCTACGAGAGACTAAGGCAAACGAGAACGAAAGACTTAGACAACAGCCAAAAAAGTGAGACAAGAAAGTAAGATATCACCCACAGAACCGTCAACTGCCCCACCGTCACGATGGGCGTCGTCAATATCGACGTGGGCGGCGGCCCGGAGCTCGTCGGTGCCGACACCGAGTTGCTTGCGCTCATACTGCCGCCGTTGTTGCTCGCACCATTGCTTGCGCTTGCGCTCGCGCTGACGGAGAGGGATAGAGTACAGAGAGAGCGGGTCGGAGGGAAGGGCTGCATGCGCGAAGAAAAAAAAGAGGGAGTCAGCGAAAAAAAAATCGGGGAAAAGGGGAGATAGGAGACTGGTCCGGAGCTGGCTGCTGGAGCAGGAGCGGACACAGGAGCAGGAGTGGGAGCGGATGGGGAGGAGGCCATGTATATGTCTGCTCGCAGTTCACCAACGTGTGCCAGGTACAAGGCACGAACGTCGATATAATAATCGACGTCGTATCGCATCAGCAAACCCTGAGGGCCCTGTAGTGAAGGTCCCTAACTCTGTAGCACTACATAGCATTACATAGCACTACACAGCACTACATAGTGTACACTCCTCTATGGAGGGCTACAGAGTACTGCAGAGCACTACAGAAAAAATCAGGATTTGCTGATGCGTGGCGCCCGACGCGAGAAAATAGCACACACTCCGACCGCTCCGGTATCTCCGCTCCGGGAAATGAAAGACACTCACGCAAAGACATCCGCTGCGATTATGTCTTGAATGTGTTGAGGATAAATAATGGGTGTGGAGGTGGGAGAAGGAGAGTTGGTGGACCACAGCAAGCGAAAAAGGTCGTCAGCGGGTGGAGCAACCCGGAGATCAGTCCAATTAGGAGGAAATCAACACGTGCGGGGATGATGCGGGCCGGTAGAGCCGGGCGTAGTTGAAAAATCGGGGGTAGTGAGGCAGAAAATTGAACCGGTGCTGGTTTATGGGAATGCAAGCCTGGGGTTAGCCGTAAATTACCTCGAGGGATAATTTTGAACATGGCAAATTGAACCATTGCAATTTGTCGTTTCGTCGAACCACATACATGTTGTTCTTCTCTTCAAAAGTTCAACACACCTCTCAGTTATATGGGCCCGTACACCAATGCAGATGTCGCTCCCAAGGCAGAACAGTCTATAATTTTTTTTCCAAAAACAAAACAAAAAATATTGCAATTTTTCCCTATTCGAACGCCGGGGATCGAACCCGTCTTTCCCGTGATCTACTCCCAAATCTCTGGTTTATAAGTTACCATACACCACGCTCAATTTATTTTCCTTGAACTCAGCTTAGATATCGGTGAGTCTTTTTGGCATACTTCTCGACGTGTCGATCAACTACTGAGGAAATCAATATTGAACCAACCCGTCATCTGGATTCTATTCTACGACCACTTTGGCGGGATCAGTGATGAATGCTGTCAATCGCTCTCTAGTTCGCAATAGGCAGTTATTTCCAAAAAAAAACACTTGAATTCTGCCTCATTCGAACGACGGGAATCGAACCCGTCCTTCCCATGATATCCAAGCTCAAACTCTGAAAGTCCAGGCTGTGCACCATACACCACGTCCGATTAACTCCTCTTGAACTCAGCTTAGATATCAATGAGTCTTTTTGGCATGCAGTTGAATGGCTCATAATGCATAAGGTCGGTTCCCTGCCAAATTGAGTAGGATTTGACCAAAGTCTATGCATTATAACCATTTATGCATTATGACCTTGCTTTCAGTGGTAAAATACATTTTGGTGGGTCCGAAATCTAATGCATTATGAGAAATTTTGGCAGGTATGCATTATGAGCTTATGCATTATGAGCCATCCAATTGTACTTCTCGACGTGTCGATCAACTACTGGGTAAATCAATCTTGGTTGAAGATACTCTACGGCTTCGGCTTCGCAGCTCGCTTCTTGATCAGAACCATGATTCTCAGACTCCAGTCCAAAAAATCCTGGATACCAAGCAAAATAGGATTTGCGGCTTTGCCCCCCATTTATTCAGACGCGGGGAATCGAACCCCGTCTTACCCTGAAATCATTAGCGCCACTAGTACTGGCTAAAGCTTCACAGCAGTGCACCATACACCACGTCCGAGTTAACATCTTCAAATGTTGCCTCGATAAGAGGCATTCTTATGGTCAGCTCAGTTGTTGTACTTGTTAAACTCCACTTGATGCCTGACGGTGGCCTCTCATCATCATTTTTTCCAAAAAAGAAAACTAAACAGCTTCCATATTCGAACGCCGGGAATCGAACCCGCCCTTCCCGTGATACGCCAACAATACACCGCCAATGGTTCCACACGTGGTCACAGCCTGGACGCGACATGTGTACCAGATGTCGATGGAGACTGGTGACCAGCCGACATTATGCTGGGTTCCAGTTTCAGTCTCCTATGGGTCCAGCATGGGTCCAGGTCGGGCTGGTAGCCAGCTGTTCAGCACAGGTGGAACCCAACATAATCAGTTACCTGGCCCTTGCCAGCCACAGTATTGGTCTAATATGCTTAAATGTACTGTCACTCGGTCAAAAAATAACACAAAATCATATATATTGGCGGGGTAAATATTACGGGATGTATCTAATGGTTTAATCATTACCTCTTGCTGCGGACAAGCCCGGGTAACGTCGTTAGGTGCGCCCATAGCTCTTGCCCTAGTCGAGAATCAGTAAATCAGCAACATGAACAACACATGGACACATACCGAGGCCAAACTCTTCCGTACTTCACACCTTGCCCGCCCGTAAATCAGTAACTCCGTAAAAGACACAAAACTTGTCGAAAATGCCGCAGGTTAACCAGACGTTCGAAGGATTTGGGAAATGGTTTTTGAGAAAAAAGCCCGAAGTAGGTAGACATCTTGTTCCGACAGAACACTTGGGACCATACAAGTGCTTCCAAAGTAGAATACGCAGTTGAGGCCTGTGGAACTTGAGGCTCGAGGGCTTGAAGCTTGAGTAACTTGATGCTTGTAGCTTGAAATCTCGAAGGGAATGGGAACTAGGAGCCAGAAAGACGTAGCGCCGTAGCAAAGAAGCACATTATAACCATGGCTTTGAAATTGCGTGCCAGAAGTACTTGAATAGGCTGCATGGGATTGGACAACTTGAAGAGAACTTGTCCTTGAATGTATAGCCCGGGGGAGGGAAATGGCGGAAGGGAATGAGGACGGTGGTGGTGGGAGGCAGAGAAGCGCCCATCAAAGTCAACCATCGAGCCGAAACACGTGATGTGCCTGACGCTTCCGCAGTTGATGCCAAGCTTGATGTGGGACTTGGCCATTTGAAAAACGTCTCAAGTTGAATACGACTCAGCTGCAGACCTATATCTTTCTGCTCAAGCTGCAAGGCTAGAATATTTATTGGTTAACTACGAAATTTGGTTTCCAAAATGGCGGTGGGCTGAGAGATTGACAGGGTGGAAAAATCGGATAACTTATGAGCCGTCTGCTGCCACTTGGCTGCCATACCGGCCATACACATCAGGCAAGATGGCACCATAGCCACCAGAGAAATTTCTGCTTCACTGATGATTATTCCGATTACTTTTTTTATTTTATTTGTATGGGTGGTTTCCAGGATATAAAGTGCTATGGACACAGCATGGGGAAGGCTGGGAGGAGGCTGGCCACTCACCTGAGCATTCCAGCTGGATACCAGCCAGCTCTCAGCTGTGTCCATAACTCGCGACAGCCATTGGCCATGTGATCGCGCCAGGTGAAGGCAACATGTCGGTACTTTGGCGGTGTATATTACAAGTCCGGGCTGTGCACCATACACCACGTCCGATTCATTCCTCTTGAATCCAGCTCAGCTATCAGTGTGGCATTCAGTACTTATATTCTCGACGTGGATCAACTACTTGTCAGCTACTTAAGAGACGTTTGTTGAACTTCCTCCGACAACACTCCTGTCAAGACTCAATTCTGCGATACTTTACACCGATGTCGCTCCCGATAGGCAAGCCGCAGAACAGTATTTCTTTCCAAAAAAAAACCCCAAAATTCCTGCCCATTCGAACCCGTCCTTCCCGTGATTTTCCAAAGGCAAACTATAAGTCCGGGCTGTGCACCATACACTACGTCCGATTAATTCCTCTTGAACTCAGCTTCGATATCGGTAAGTCTTTTTGGCATACAGTGCTTATTTTCTCGACGTCTTGATCAAGTTGGGAGTACTTGGAAAATGAATATTCAGCCGATCATCTTAAGTTAGTTGAAAATATCCTATTCTACGACGCCGGCTTCGTAATAGGCAGTTATTTCTTTCCAAAAAGAACAAAACACCCTAAAATTCTGCCTCGTTCGAACACCGGAATCGAACCCGTCCTTCCCGTGATATGCTAAAGACCAGCAGAATGTGATGAGTCCGGGCTGTGCACCATACACCACGTCCGAGTTATCCACCCCTGCGTCTCCTCCTTGAAATACATGCACAGTGCTCCATGGCAAAGCGTTCTGCCAAAAAAAAAAAAAAAAGGCTTCATTTAAATTACACGTCATTCGGATGCGGGGAATCGAACCCCGACCTGCCCTGAGATATTTCTTTTACATTGACCTCAAGATTTTTAGGGCAGTGCACCATACACCACATCCGATATATTTATCCTGAAGTCAACTTGCTATCAGCAAGTCTTTCTGGCATGCACTACTTGACAAGGCCGTTGAACTTGATTGACATAAAAATTAATATTGAACCAACCCGAAGTCCGAGTTATGCACCTCTGTGTTTCTCGATGAAATACATGCATACTGCTCATGGCCAAGCGTTCTGCTAAAAAAAAAAATCAAATTGCGAAAGGTCTATTCGGATGCGGGGAATCGAACCCCTTCCTGCCCCAACAAATTGCAAAACAAATCGACTATATTTTAGGACCGTGCACCATACACCACATCCGATTTATTCCTCATGAACTGAATTTGCATATCACAGCAGCTGTCTGGGAATCCTTATTCATTGCTTTCTGAACTTGATTTGCAGTCTTGCTCGAGCCAATCAAAAACAAAAATTTTAAATAAAAAAGTCGTCCACAGCCTATTCGGATGTGGGGATTCGAACCCCTTCCTGCCCTGAAAAGCTGCAGCTCAATTGAGTATACTTTAGGGCCGTGCACCGTGCACCACATCCGATTAGATACTCTTGAACTGAATTTCCTTATCATAGTAGTCCGGGGCTCATTCATGTCGACGCCTGCGGGTTGCCTGTTAATGCTCGCATCTTCGTTCATACAGCATTTTACATTCATTTAGAACCGTGATTACGTAGTCACTGAAAAGCAAGGGAAGAAAAAAAGAGGTCTACAGACATTATACTCGGATGCGGGGAATTGAACCCCAGCCTGCTCTGAAAACCAGATTTTACCGTCCGCCTCTACGATTCACAGCGGTGCACCATACACCACATCCGATTTAATCCTCATGAGCTGAAATTCCCTATCACAGCACCTTTCTGGCAATGCTTATTCATGGTGACGCCTACGGGCTTCCCGGCTAATGCTCGCATTTTTGTACATAATTTCATCCAGCATTCTCACAAAGGCAAAAAAAAAGTTACCGAAGGCTTATTCGGATGCGGGGAATCGAACCCGGCTTGCCCTGAAGGCTGGGACACACAGGTATATTTTAAGGCGGTACACCATACTACACCATGTCCGAACAAACACCTTTGAACGTTTCTTCGATAAGAAGCATTCTTTTGGAGCCATTTCTCAGCTCAGTTGTAAACGTTGGAATTTTGACTCGAGTTCGGCCCCGACCTATATATTGCCGACGGAGTTCGGACGCACGAAAAAAGCGAGGAACAACAAAAACAAACGATACCCTCGAGCTATTCGGACACGGGGAATCGAACCCCGTGCTGCCTCGAAACCAATTCGCGTATCGCTGTATGCGACGTGGGACCGTGTACCGTACACCACGTCCGAGTTATTCAGCTCAAAATTTCCCCCGATAAGAAGCGTTCTTTTGCATCCATTTCCCTAGGCCGTCCCGCCCAGACTCGGTAGATATCCAACCTTTTAACCCTTGACATCAAATTCACTGACTGTGAGTGCATGCCGGAACCTAAATAAGTGGCGGGTTAAAGATACTGCAGATATTTATTCACGGCTGAGTTCAGACCGAAAACGAAGAACGAAAAATGAGGAGGGCGATTGGACTACCGCAGATAAGATGTTGTTATGGCGCGTTGTATGACTGAACTTCAAGCTCAGGCGAGGAATAATTGACTGAGCAGTTTACTGGTAGTAAATTGCGCGCAAGGTCAGTCCAGGTATTGAGCGAGTCGACTATTGTACACGATATGGGAAGGAAAAGGACAGCCAAATGAAAGGTTAACAGGCCTACAAGCAGATCAGTGGTGTCAGTCGAGAGAAGAATAGAAACTCACAATCGGCGATAGCAGTTACGAAAATATATTGGTACCAATGGCCGCCGCTCTCAGTCTTTCCAACTCTTCCCACTCAGGGAGCCCATATATTTCTGGAAGTTTGTCCCAGAACACCTGCCGGGCATCCTTGTGCGTCTGTTTGAGGACAGCGAGGCACGCTGGACACAGATTTTCAAGTAATCGCCAG